TACAATAATTTATTTACCGTCTTTACACAAACTTAAAAATGTTGTTAAAATTACTTAAAATTATAACATTTTTCCTTAGATACTAGATCTTGTTACATTTTACATTGACGACATGTTTCGATGTTATCTCATCATCATCAGGTCAATCAATTAAAATCTGTTGCACTTCTTGCTCTGCGTATATTGAATTGTTTTATTTGTTTGATTTTTTAAGTCTCTTCCATTAAATTTGAAGGCTGTGCCCGTAATATCGGACACAACACATCACATACAACCCGATTTAAAGCATCCGGGCACAGCCTTCAAATTTAATGGAAGAGACTTAAAAAATCAAACAAATAAAACAATTCAATATACGCAGAGCAAGAAGTGCAACAGATTTTAATTGATTGACCTGATGATGATGAGATAACATTGAAACATGTCGTCAATGTAAAATGTAACAATATCTAGTATCTAAGAAAAAATGTTATAATTTTAAGTAATTTTAACAACATTTTTAAGTTTGTGTAAAGACGGTAAATAAATTATTGTATTAATGAACACAAACATGACGCAATTAAGATATAAATTTGAGCACTTTGTTTCTTTTTACAGCTGAAAGGGTTGGGGCAGATGTAAGAATGAGTTCTTTGCATCAAAGCAATGACAAGAGTTTACATAATGCAGGTCTGAAATTTGCCTTTCTGAGTTACAGCACCCCTTTTCCAAAATTACTGCTTGGTATGGAAATTTCATAGGAGGTTCTGCAATGACCTGTATGTTTGTGCAGGCAGTAGAATAAGCCATAGATGCCAAATTTTTATTTGTCATAAAGAGGAGGAAAACATTTTCTAGATTATACACATGTATAATATGCTCCATAGAAGACTAAAAAGTTAAGACTTAGGATTCCTATACCTGGCCCCTGCTCTAGCATGTTTCTTATGGGCAGTGATATGAATGCCTATAACTTGCATGTTCTGATATTTTGTTTATTTAGTCATTAGAGCTTTACATATAACCATTGGAACTGAATGGACTTAAGTAAATTTTAGTTGATTATTCTGTTAATCTGTCATATTATTGCTTTATAGGGTGTGGGAATGTTGATTTGTCATCTTGTCTTGCAGACTCTTCCACATGCGGAAGTTGATGCCAGTCCAGTTTGGTCCTCTACTCTTTGGCATGGCACCTGATCACCCTGAAATGAAGAATGTGGTAAACGCATTTACCAGTACAGCAGAGAGTCCTCAGCTAAGATTTACAGTGAATGTGACTCTGGGTCAGGACATGTAACTGTAGGAACTCAGAGATGCATGTCGTGCCTTTTGTTGGTTGGTGGATTATCACAGGGCCAGAAAAACATTCAGCCAAATTATTTAGGTATGGCTACTCAGTTGCTGATATCTACAGAATTATGCGACTGATGAACTGAAAGGCTTCATTTTGGGTGTCACTAGGAAAGCTGTTAGCCTTATTGACAGGGGCAGATCATAACGGAGGAACCATAATCAGCAGAGGTCCTGGTTACTTTCATCATCTGGGAAATTTGGCCTCATCACCCTCATGTTGGAGGCTGCAAGGACCTGTGAAACATTGACAAGTTCTACCAGACTACATGGCATAAGACTCATCACTTCATGGCTAGTTCATTAGCTGCCACATTTGGTTTCCAGGGAGTTCATTGCTGTAAATGTTGAAAGTTTTGTCACTCTTCCACTGCTCCTATGAAAAAACTTAACTTACAAATTTCATCACTTGACCTGCTGGTCTCTCACTGGCTTACAGCAGTTATTCCTCATAGTTTTTTTTTTGGGGGGGGGGATGAAAAGGCTGAAAACAATTTACAAAACACAGTCCTTTGTTACACTTCCAGCAGTACACAGTTGTAAATGTGAAAAAGTATGTTTGTAAAGGAATTTTTGAAAGGTGAAATCATGCTAGGACAGTCTCTGGAATCTCGTCAAGTGAGACAGATACCGCTAATAGAAGAACTGCGGGCCTCCAAGCATTGAGGCAATTTCTTTCTGTATTTACCAAATGAAAATATGTCTCACATAGACTTTGTAGTGCTCATTGAGTAAACAGTTTTAGTTCATTGAGGTTAGGTTATGGTTTGGTTTATGTCATATTATATTATATTTCTCCAGTACTGAAAACTTTTGTTGCTAGAGGAGAAACGTTCTCATTGTTTTGAAGCTAGTCAGTCTATAAATTTCAGGCTTAACTGCAGTATTTTCTTCCTTTGTATCTATAAACCATTTTTAAAAATATTTCTAGTATGAATGTGTGGGGGTAATTACTCTGCAATTGTCTGCGTGGGTACACTTCCGTTTGAGCAGAGCATTGTTCTCTACATTTCAGAATATCTGATAGGCATTCAGGAGCATCGAAACAAGATGCTGAACCCATTCTGCAGTTTATACGGATTGATCTAGGCCCATATCTAAAAATGTGATTGTGGCTTCTTCCTAAAGACAAATATCCGAATCTGTGGCAGGGGGCAGCCGATCGAAAAAGATATATTTGGAAGCACATTTTTGAACTGGCTTTCTCTCATAAAACTGAATAAATGTACACAAGGAAACAGTTGACAGACAAGAAGCGTCAAACCGGAAGTGCAACACTTGGTAGCTGTAATGATGACTCAATGTTCACTTTGGGTTTTCATTACAAATAAACATCCCATTTTTATAAAAAAAAAATTATTCAACACGTTTAACATACATTAAAAATGTTTAAAAGTAGCTTATTTTCCTTGAAAAGTCTGCTGGAAAAAATAACAAAACCATTCATAACATTTCTTTTGTCTAACACCGCTTGTTGAAACGTTGGTTCACCATTTGTTTTGATATAATCCTGAGCGGGCGGACAGTACTCATTCTGCTGTATGTCGGCTGCAGACCCCACACTGGCTGGTACTTTCGACGGACTATGCCGCCTGACTCACGGGTGTCATGTGCCTGTTGCAAACCTGGCGTCCCATGCATGGCACCGATTCCGCCCGCCCACCAAACACTGCCGTAGATCTCGGCATATGTCGTGGCTGGCCTCCCCTGTTAAAAGAAAACAATAATTAACGACTATGGCGAAAGTTAAGTCCTTGTCAGATTTACAAAGTAAATGTTTTATTTAATGAATAATTTACTCAGATATTAAGACGTTACCGTCGGTGGTCCGTGGCCTAGTGGTTAGTGTCCTTTCCACTGGACCTGGACCCACAGTTCACGGGTTCAAACCCGGTCGAGGGTGATAAAAATCCATAGCACAACATCCTTTGCCCCATGTCTTAGATTTACGAAAGATAAACCTGCAAGGAAGAGAGAAATAATGATGTTCAGCAAAACTTAGAGGCTGTGTTTCTCACTCACGTGTATCCTGATCCCTATTACATGGCTGATACTTGAGGTAAGCACTGTGAAAATATACCCATGTAATAAAAAGTTTTATTTTTGTTGTGAAGTCAAGAAAATCTCAGTTTAGTTTCTATCTTGTTGGTGTGAAAACTAGAGTCTGCTTCTTAAATCTAAGCTCACGCCACTTTCTGCCTCAGTGCAATGGGAACAGTTCAAGATGAAGCAGCGTTTCTTCTGGTTTGCTTTAAACAAATAATTTATGACAATGCAATGTAAGATTTCACCTGGATACGGTAGAAACCCGTCAACTCATAAAACAATTTCTTTTTGAAATTTGGTATTACCAGTTTAAGGAAACTGGTAATGTTTTAAGATGGAAATTCACTGACAGGTCTGATGTATGAAAAATGTAAGACAGTCTTTTAGATGAAGCCCCAAGAAATCAGCCATGCATTAGAGTTTGATGGTGGGATATCAGAGACCGCAATCTGAAATTCATTACATAAGACTAGTTTGTATGTTATCCAGAATGGTACATAATGGCATTGACATAGATATACAAGCAGTTCTCACTCTTAAAATGGGTGACCTGGAAAAGTAGGGATAAGGTGCTGATTCTTGAGCCAAAAATCCAGGGTTTAAGACTGGTTGGACCCAATGTAGCGATTTGACATGCCTTCTTATTTCTCATTTCTGACCAACTCCGTGAAACAGAGTCCTTACTGTAAAGCTTATTGTAATCCTGATAGTAAATTCCCTTTTTCTCACAGAACTCCACCATTCATTATTGTTTTCACAAGAGCCCATCACCGGACTGCGTCCCGAACCAGATGTTTCCAGTCCATACTTCAACACCATTAATCCAACCTCAAACAAAGTTTTGTAAATGTTGTAAAATCAAAAACTTTCATCATGAATCATTAAGCTGTAAGCTCTCTCTATTGGTCATTATCTTTGCCATCAAAATAGCACTAGAAAAACATTTATATTTCACTGACAAATTTTCATTTTCACCAAATAAATGCGGTTACTAGTGTCACAATAAAGAGCAGAACTTCACTGGTGGAGGTGGAGGTTCATTTACACTACATTTATTAAATTTCTTCAAAGCAGGTTCCGCCTGTGTAGTCCGTGCAGGGAGTGCAGGCATAATTTCAAACGTTCTGACCCTTCTAGAGACATGCCAGTGCAGTCGTTTATATTCAGGAACTTCAGTTTGCTACATCTCTGTCTAATTGCTGTAAGGCTTGCATCTGTCAGCTCGGAGCATCCCTGTGGAGGAGATCGTACCCATTATTTAGCACTTGCAACGGATAACAATCACACTGCTATGTATCAATTATCCACAGAAGTTTGAAGAAAATTGTAAACATATATGACAGTTGCTTGTGTACTATCCACGATAAACACAATGCCATCACTGAGCAGATTAGAAATGCAAAATTATAATATTTCACAGTATAACAATTAATTACACATTGTCTTATGATAAACTCCCTCATTTGGAATTCATTGTCACTGCGGATTTTCCATATCACTGAATGGTAATTATTTTTAAATACTTTATTTTTATATTGTTTTTATGTGGAAGATACATTTATGGGGAGATTTGTAATGCATCACAATAAAACTTTAATTTCATAACCCATTATGATCTATCACAGATTCTACTCTTAAAATATTTTATTTATTTTATTTATTATAATTGAAAATACTTTGTTTAGTTTCAGATCTGAAGGACTTCTCTATAAAACATATTTTATTAAAATAATTTGATAATCTGAAGTAATCATGAGGAACCACAGAAATACAAACCTGGGTTCTTGTTTATTAACTTTATCAACATGTGTTATGTGCCAAGTTAACTTGCTTGATATAAAGTGACATACACCCACAATTCAAGATGTTTCAGTCTTGACAAATGCTTCACAAGTTCAATAATGCCACTGTCTGTGATTCTGTGACAACAGTTCATTTTAAGGGTTTCAATGCTTGGGTTCTTTGATGCCAGATCTGCGATGCCTGCATCTGTTACCTGAAATCAGAATGTAAAATGTACTTAGAAAAAATAGCACTGAAAATTTTGTAAATGATCATTCTTAACAAGCCCCTTGTTCTTCTGTGCAACTTTATCAAAAGCGAAGGACTTGGTGTTTGAGAAGAACAGGTAAGATATCAAGAAACCCAATGAGAAGCAAAACATATTAAATTTCCTGATGAAACTAACCTGCCGGCAGAAACTCAGACTTAAATGTCGAAGTTCAAGAAAACTAAAGGCATACTTAAGGCTGACATCTGTGATTCCCCGGGAGTCACGCAAATCTAGTTCTTGCAAACCTGAAGGGAAAAATAAATAGATTACAATGAATCAGTTTATCTAATGATATCCTTAAATTATACGATCAAACAAACGTCTGTATTTAAATATTAACATATTGTGCATACCTTTCAATTTAACAATTGAGAAACCTAAGATTTTTGTCTTCTGGGTTGTTGCGCTGTGTAGTCTGGTCAATGTTTACCAACATTTCTGAGGTCATACTGCCTCCGTCATCAGGGCAATGAATATTCCAATAGTGTGTGTGGAGTTAGGTTTATGGGTGCCAGAATGTGAATGGAGTAGCCTGCCCCGAGCCAATGGGAGCACGCATGGGAGTGGACCAATAGGAGCGCGTGGGCAAGTGTGAGAGTGGGAGAAAAAGGAAAGAGAGAGAGGGGGGGCTCGGGAAGTACATCCGGTGGGACATCGGGGGGTTCAGTTGAATGTGATCGGGGACCTGAAAGGGGCCATTTTAGTGGTCTGGTTGGTTCTGGTGGTGCACTCTGGAGAAGACAAAGTTCTGATATGCCTCTGTTTGTTATGGCATAGCAGGCCTCCTTATTGAGTATCAAAAGGTTCTTTAGGTTCTGACAGATAGCTATGAAAGAAGGATGTGAAAACTTCTTCTTCTTCTATGTCAATCCGGTCCGTATTCGGTCCATGGCCTCCTCAATTCTCCTCTTCCATTCGGTCCCATCCTCCGCTCGGATGTTAGGTCCGTCTGTCAGTGGCTTTGATTGAGGTTTCGAAACATCTTCCTTTTTACGGTGCAAGGTTGTTACCCTTGGGACCAACCCCCAACCTGGAGGACCATGATACCTGTCTTAGTCTGACCTCTCCCCCTCGACCAATCTGGCTAGGAAGGCCCTTCCAGTAGCTATGCTACCGCCAGCATAGCTCTTGGGATCACTGAGGTACTCAAACCCCACCACCACGACAAGGTGCAGGTACCATTACGTAAGGTGTGAACACTCACTTAAATCTAATGTAGTGAGACTCTCTTGTGATTCTGAGTACGCTTGCATTGTTCAGTCATTCGCAAGACTGAAGATGAAGTGTTTCAAGATGTAGTTCTGGTACTTCTGCAAGTTGTGACAATGCTGCATCATCAAGTCCGTGCCACCAAATTCCAACTTCCTAATCTTCCCTGCTTTTGACTCAATGTGTTTTAATATATTAATGAATGTCAGAACAATTTCTGATGCCATTGTGTAGCCAGATTTTAACATGTCACCAGGGTAAAATTTCTTAAACAGTTCGAGATCGAAAGAGATCTGACATCCTGTAAATGACAGATCTTCTAAATTTGATGCAATTGCCACAAATCTACTGAAAAGGGCATCTGACAAATATGTATTTGAATCAAGACTTAGCTCCCTAAGTTTGACAAGAGTGTTACTAAGCAGAATAACATCATATTTCTGCCTCAGAACCCTTCATGACTTCAAAAGTTCAGGAACACCCACTCACATTGAGAGTTTCTAAATGTGAGCACTTTAACGAAATATTTACAAAGGTCTTTTCTGATGAAGATTTCTGTCTTCTGAGTT